TTATTCCCCCCCCCCCAAAGAGTTCCATAAAACCCTAATTTCGTGTGAGGTTTCATTATTGAGGAGATTGGAGCGTGGAAGAGGAAATTGGTGGCAAAGAGCTTGAGGAATTAAAGGCTTGCTGCAAAGGAGTGGTGTAGATTCGGGATCTACTTCAGTTGGAGCTTATATTGGAGGTAATAATATGTTGCTTGGGTTCTTTTGCATCTAGATCTTTTATCATTTGAAATTTTGGGGCATTTTTGGTATGATTAAGAGCTATTTCAAGTTAGAGGCTTAGATCTGAGGTTGATACTTCAGATATAGGCTTGTGATGGTCCATAATGTCATAAAGTTTTAGTCATTGAGTTGTTGGTGAAGCTCCTTTGTTCAAAACCCAAGCCCTAGTGTGTTTTGGGCCTAAATCTCCATGGTTTCACGTAAAGTTTCCAACTTTTGTGAGGGTTAGATTGTGGAAGGGTGGATCTATGGATCTGAACCTCTGCATGGCTCGAAAAGCCTCTGAATGGATTGAGAACTGGAGGGACTCGACGAGTCACATGGGTGTACTCGACGAGTTGTATGAACATAAGCATGCACTTGGCGAGTTGGAAGAACAACTCGGCGAGTCTGTTGAAGGTTGCCTTGGACTCAGCGAGTCTGGTCGCAGAACCCAACCTCATTTTGGTTAAAGCCTTGGATTAAGTGAGTCGGTTGGCGACTCAGTGAGTCGGACAGGATGGGATTCATAGATTATTGGACTCGGCGAGTCTTGGGGCGACTCGACGAGTTAAGTGTGTAATGAGAGTTTTCTGGGTATGGGAAGTCGGCGAGTCGACGGGGTGACACGGCGAGTAGAGTCAACCAGGAAGGTTGACTTTGACTGAGGACTTTGACTTTGATCAAGAGTTAACCAGTTTGACTCCCAAGGGTATTTTGGTAATTTTGGTATTTATGGAATTGGTTCTTTGGTAGTGTTCTGTGGTGAGGTTCATGTTGGTGGTTAGAGTAGCTTGGTCTTACCTCTTCAGTCGGCAATTGCAGGTCAGTTATCCTCACTATATCGACAAGGTCTACGACACCAAGGCCGGCCCTTTATTGGATGGAAATCCGGGTATTGTTTGTTATGTTATTGCTTTGCTAGATCTACATCCTAGTATTTAGGATGGTGTTATGTTAGTGACTTGGTTAAGGCCGGTACCCGGTATATAGGGTAATGTTATGCTAGTTACCGGTATTTAGGATGGTGTTATGTTAGTGACTTGATATGCTATGTGATTTGATAAACTGTTGTCTGGTTAAGGAATTGTTATGCGATTAATTGATTTATGTGCACATGGTTGTTTGATGCGGGTTTGAATTGAGCCGGGTCCTGCTTTGTGTTGTAGGCCAACATACGCAGGGCAGACCGGATATTCCGTAGGCCCAGCGAGCGGTTCGGATAAGATGAAGGCCCCAAGAGGGCGGACTAGACGTGCCGAGGGTCAGAGAGTGGACCAGGCGGACCGAAGGCCTGGTGTGTGCGGACCAATCACACTGTAGACTCGATATACATGGCTACACTCGGAGGATGAACCAGGTGGACTGAAGGCCCGGTGCGGCGGACCAGTCCCACAGTAGACCCGATGTGCATGGTTGTTCTATTTGCGATATGTTATGAGTATGTTTATGTATGGTTGGTATTTTGGGGGTAACTCAGTATGCTTTCGGGCTTACAGTTCAGTGTTTTGTTTCAGGTACTTCAGGAGATCGTGGCAAGGTGAAGGCGTGATCGTACCGCTCCTCATGTTTTATGATTTATGTGATATGGTTCTGGGGAATACTCTGATGTTTAAACTATTTTGAAAACGAATGTATGAACTTAATGGTTTTTGAATGAATTAAAATGTTTTAATTTGGCTCGAATTTATGGTCGTTACATGACTGGTCTCTAGTACATCCAAAAGTTATGCTAGAGGATGTGTTAGTTCAAGTAAATGAACTAGTATTTCTGGTACATTTTTATGTTCTTGTCATGGATGATGATGACTCACGTTTTGGGCTTTGTAATGCTCTTTCCACTTTTCAAAGGTGTGTAGTAAGTATTTGTTCAGAGTATGATGAGGAATTCATTGAGGTGTTTATGGACGATTCCAATGTTTATGGTAATTCCTTTTATCAATGTTTGGGTAATTAAAAGAAGATTTTGAAAAGTTGTATTGAAACCAACCTTGTTTTAGGTTATGAAATGTGTCATTTTATGGTTGATAAAGGTCTCATCCTTGGTCGAATTGTGTCCTCTAAGGGTTTAGATGTAGACAAAGTAAACATTGATATTATTAAGTCTTTACCTTATCCTACTTGTGTTCGTGAGGTACGCTTGTTTCTTGGTAATGCAGGTTTTTGTAGAAGATTCATCAAGGATTTTTGCAATATATCTTGTCCCATGTGTCAGCTCCTACAAAAAGATGCATATTTCAAATTTTCCAAGGAGTACAGACAAGCTTTTGATCAGTTGAAGGAGTGGTTAATTTCAGCATTAATACTTTAATCACTAGATTGGAGCTAGCCATTTGAAATTATGTGTGATGCTAGCAATCATGCAGTTGGTGCAGTGTTGGGGGAAAGAAAAGATTGATTTCCTCATGTCATATATTATGCCTCAAAGATACTCGATAGTGCACAAGTCAATTACTCCACAACTGAGAAAGAATTTCTATCTTTTGCTTTAGAGAAATTTCGTCATTGTTTGGTAGGTTCTAAAGTGATTGTTTATTTTGATCATGCAACTCTTAGGTACCTACTTGCAAAGAAGGATTTGAAGCCTTGACTCATCCGATGGTTTTTGCTCTTACAAGAACTTAACATAAAAATAAAGGTAAAGAGCATAAAAGAAAACATCGCGGCTGATCATCTTAGCAGGATTGTCGCTCCTGATGATCCGAATCCCATCCGTGACACGTTTTTGGATGAAATTTGTTTTCAACAAAAGTTGCAATGTAGTATACATATATTGTGAACTACATTATCACAAATCAATTTCCACTAGATTTGACCTGTTGGCAAAAAGATAAAATCAAGAAGGAAGCCAAGAGGTACGTATGAGATGAACCATACTTTTGGAAATATTGTGCTGACCAAATGATCAGGCGATGTGTTGAACAACATGAGGTATCTTCTATATTATAATTTTTTCACTCTTATGCTTGTGGAGAGCATTTTGGTCCTCAATGAACTGTAAGGAAAGTCTTAGAGAGTGGATTTCACTTGCCAAGTATTTTCCATGACTACTATTTTTTTGTGCAAGTTGTGATAATTGTCAAAAGATGGGTTATTTAAGCTCAAAGAATCAAATACCCCTTAACCCATTTGATGTGTGGGGAATTGATTTCATAGGTCCTTTCCCATATTCTTTGGGTTTTTCTTACATTCTTTTGGTTGTGGGTTAAGTTTCTAAAGTGGGTAACGATTCAAAAGTTGTGATATATTTTGTCAAGGCTAACATTTTTTCCAGATTTAGAGTTCCTAAAGCCTTAATCAATGATCGTGGTTCACATTTTTACAATCAGATGCTTGGTAGTGTTTTGAAAAAGTATGAGGTTAATCATAAAGTTTCAATAGGATACCACCCACAAGCGAATGGTCAAGCCGAAGTGAGCAGTTGACAACTCAAGGGCATTTTGGAGAAAACTTTCAACAAAACAAGGAAAGATTAGAGTACCCATCTCGATGATGCTTTTTGAGCATACTGCATCGCATTAAAGACTCCAATTGGAATGTCTCCATATTGTATTATTTTTGGGAATCCATGTTGATTACCCGTGGAGTTGGAGCATAGAGCCTGTTGGGCAGTCAAACAATTCAATATGAACATGGATGAATTGGGAGAGAAAAGAAAGCTTTACATACAAGAGCATGAAGAAATTCACAATGAAGCATATGAGAATGAAGTTCTTTACAAAGAGAAGACGAAAGCATACAATAACAAAATAATTTCTTGCAAGGAATTTGGAAAAGCTCAAAAGGTATTGCTTTACCACTCTCATTTCAAACTAATTCCTAGTAAACTAAGGTCCTATTGGGTGGGACCATTTGTTGTTACTAATGTTTTTGATCATGGTGTAATAAAGATCATAAGTGAGAAATTCGGGAAGATTTTTAAGGTAAACAGACACCATTTGAAGCCTTATTATGAAGGATTTGAAGTCAAAAATGAGGAAGTGGAAGAAGTAGAGGATCCAAAGTATCAAAATTGAGAAATCATTGGGGTTCATGTCAAGCCAACGACTCTTAAACAAGGGCAGCTAACCGAGAGGCAACTCGGGGGTATTTTCTTCATTTCTTTTGTAAAAGTTTCATACGGACAATTTATTTCATGTGTTTATGTTCCAATGTAATTACAATACTTAGGGAATTATAAAAACATATTTCATGGGGTTTAGAAGTGTGTGTAACTGAAAAAGCAAGATTTTTTTTGGTTTATTCAGATCGTTCCACGGTCATAAAATGCATACCCTTTACCATTCCACGATTGTGGAATGGGGTTCAGAAAAAAAAATGTAGCTTTTTACTTTAAACCCTCATTTGTTCTTTACACTTGTGACTTCCCTAACCTCATTCTCTCTCACCTACTGCCGATGCACCAAGAACTCATACAGAAACAATCGATTTTGCTTCAATTTCACTTCAATCTAAGATCAAAAGGTATGATTAATTTTTCACTAACTTGTTCCTTCTTCCCCACATGCATTGAAGCTTCTCCTATGGAGGTTTTTGGCTATATGAAGAACCCTATAAATTTTGGGTCCAAAAATTTGGTGATATGTTGTTAAATTGTTTGTAGATTAGGCTTGGGGAAGCATAAGGGAAGTGATTTCAAGCATCAATTTCAAGTGGATTCAAACAAAATTGGGTATTATCTTTCCAATTTTACTTTTTTGTTCATAAAAGCTTGAATTTCGTGTGTTTTGTGTGTTCTTGGCTATTAGTTTTTCTTGATTGGGTGTATTTTGTTCTTCAAAGTCAAATCTTCACACTCCAAAATGTCCACATCCCATAAAAACACATCCAAAACTAGCTCCAAACACCCTAGAGTTGTCCCATCTTCAAACAATGTTCCCAATCAACATAATCCACCAGTCCAACAACAAATTGGTGTAACATTCTCTTCACCCGAGCAAGAAGCTCGTTACCATTGTCTAGGAGGTAGAATTCAGTCAGCATAGAAATTCACAGACATTTCTACCCTCCGATCTTTACACAATGACATTAAAGTCCATAAGCTTCTCATGAATATTGGTTGGGAAGGCATTCTCTCAATTGGTGATGTGACTTATTTACAATCTACTTTGAATTCTTAGCTTTTGTTGAGTACAATCCCGCCACCGAGTTCTTATCCTTCCATGCTTTCAATCGCAACCACCAACTTCACAAAAAACCAAATGTGTGAGATTACTAGTGCTTCGACCCACAATACATATGGTCCATTTAAAAGAATGAATAACACATTCTTTTGTGACTGTAATCATTTTTGGGGTAGAATTACCAGACTCGAGTACAATTCCAGTTCCACCATAGCTATAACTCTTATTCATCCTATGTTACAGGTTGTCCACCGCATCTGCGCTTCTATCTTATTTCCTCGAAATAAATTCAGCAAAGTTGGGAAAAAACAGTTGGAATTGTTGTGGTGTTCAGTTTATAGCCCCAATCTCCATCCTGACTTTGGAGAATACGTCATTTACAAACTTTTAAAACTTAGCAGAAGTAATAATGGGGAATTAAATTATGGTTGCGTGATTACTACTCTCTTAAAACATCCTGATTTAGGAATATAGTTTCCCGAAGGTCTTAAAGCTATTCCAAGTGAACGCCCTCTGTCCAATAATGTGTTCCAAAATATAAAAGTGTTGCAGGTGGTTGAACGTGATATTTACTGGTAAGTTGAGGGTGTAGACTATCTTTGCATTCATAGTCGAAATCGACAACTTCTAACCCTCACTTATCCACTGACCGGCATGGAATGGTGTCTTGAATCCAATTTAGGTGTTGCCATGCCCAGAGCTAATCTTGAGCTTGATGTTGATGAGCCTATTCCCAATGCTCCAATTCCTAATGCTATTGTGCCAGTTTCGCAAGAGCCTCCCATGCATCCCTATCATGACATGTACATGCAAGAATTTCAGCAGTTGCATGCTGATAATAGGCGTTTGCATTAGGACTATTTTGACCTATATGAGAGTGGTTGCAAGATAAATACAAATATGGTAGAGTTAAGAGAAGAATTTTATGCTTTTAGAGAAAGCCAACAAACGCACAACCAACATGTGGACACCCTTATGACTGACATGCAACGAGTCCTTTGCTTGGGTGGTCAACTTACACGACCACCCTATTATCCATATTGTACACATCCATTCCCACAATGATAACATCCACAATACCAACAACAATATCCTCCGAAATTTCCACCCCATCACCCACCTTATGATCCTCCTCAGTAGTCGGTCCCACTCTCATCTCAAGCATCAAGGTCGATGCATCATTTTACGCTTAGGGAGGGGTAAATTTCATTGCATTTCATTCGTTGCATTAAAAAATTTAATTTCATTGCATTGCATTTTAAAAATAATATATATATATATATATATATATATATATATATATATATATTACAAAACATAAAAATACAAAAAGACTTTTTCTTTTCATTTAGGTTTTAGGGTCATTTTCATGCATTTTCTCTCCTTTTTCTTCTTGTTAGGATGCCTTTAACTTTTTGTCAAAATACACGGTTAAGTTCAAAGTTTTGTCTGCTTATACCCCGTGTACATGTGGTGTCACTAATTTGTGAAACTTTAGAACTACTGAGAACACACATATTTGCTAATTCACCTAGTGGTGGTGCATTGAGGTGTTTTATGCCGAGCAGCTCCTCTTATATAATTCGGGTTATGGCAGCTGATATCAAATATAGGGCATTTTAAAATACCCGTGAGTATGTCATTGTGTGAATCAGTAAGGCATGATATGACGCAGACAAGTATTGGAAAAAAAATGATTTTTGAAGAACTCTTTTGTTTAAGGTACAAAACTTGTAAATATTTGACTTTGAAATCTACCTTTGTATGACTGCGAAGTCATACAAAGACAGTTTTCAAAGTCAAATGTTTCCAAGTTTGTGTTCCTTAAAGAAAAGAGTTCTTCAAAACTCATTATTTTTGTTTGGTATTTAAGTTTTTATAAAAAGTTTAAGCTTATGTTACTTTTTTCAATTCTGTTGTAAATATTTGAGTTGAGTTTATGTACATATATTTGCTACTTTCTAGTAAAAAATGAAAAAAAAAAAAAAAAAGAACTGAACCAAGCCTTTCCAGATTTATCATGATGATATTTTCATAGGAAAATCGTTTGTGTTTAATTTTGTTGGCTCGTTTAGCATTGATAGTTTATTTGGAGCCAACAACCATGTTATACGATTATACTTTATTTGCTTTGTATATTTCATGTTTGTATGTATTTCTTTTGCGCCCTTGTTATGGTTATGGATTTATCTCCTATTATGGATTGCCGAGAGTTGACACGAGATTTGGAAGAAGATATAAAGATTGTGCAACCACAAGTTGTTGAAGAGTAATGAGAGAAGACTAAGAAGAATGTGATATGTCTTAATGACACTTGAGTGCCCTCCACCATAAATAACGAGTGTATGTTTTTTTATAGGAGTCAGTTGACACATCTTGTGCAATAAGTGCATACATGAGTTAAGTGCTTCAACGAGTACCCCTTATTGATTTAGATGCACCTCCCTTGTCAGTAAACATTACTTGGAGATGCCTTATACTATGGTTCCATGTATTAAAGTCGAGTGATTGGAAAATATTTGTGTTCCATGCCTTCTACTGTCCTGATTTTGGATGCATTACATTTGTGTGTATATGGGGTATAGATCAACAACTCTTTAATCATATTATGTTGTCGAGATGAATAACTTGTGGCATTCTTTCTATTTATTTTATGTTAGCATTTACATTTACAGTTCATATTTTCCAAGGTTGATTGTAGTTTCATTTTCTTGAGGACAAGAAAATGTTCAAGATTGTGGAGATTTGTTAGGTGCATAAATTGCACCTTTTCATGTCAATATCATGTTTATTCATAGCATTACATTGCATTTTAGTTTAACTTTGCATGAATTTTGCATTTTTGGGACATTTTCATGCATCGATCTACTTTTCACCATTTTTTGGGATGTTATAGGGGAATTTGAGGATTTTGGTATGCTTAAGATGTTCGAGGGAAGCTCTATGCAAAAGTTTGTAAGAATCAGATCACGATTGAAGAAAACAAAAAAATGGACGTGGATGCTTATTCAGAGCATTACATAGTTGTGGAACGCCATGCCTTTACCATTCCATAGCTGCGGAATGAGGATTTCAACAATTCAACACTGTTTTCCATTCCTAGGTTGTTGAATAATTCCCAGAGCTTGGAATCGTTGTCGAGAATTTTATTTGATTTTCCAACTTCTATTTTAAAGTAGTTTCTTGACCATTTTGGAAATAACTTTAACCAAGACTTCCCAAGGGGCGATTTCCATCAATTTTATCATTAATTAGCACTTTGGCAAAATTTAGATTTCAAATTTGTAAGTTTGTTTGAAGATCTAACTTGTTGAATTTGTGTTTTGATCTAGCCATGTGTGGCTAACTTTTCCTTATATTTCAGGTTCTAGATCCTTAAATACTTGTTGTTAGATTATGATGTGAAATTAATTTCGTGTTTTGATCTAGTAATATTTGATTTGCTCTTCATTATTTGTTTGATTTGCACTCTTTTCACTTGATCAATGAATCTAGGGTTCATATCACTCTTGTTAGTCAAATTATGAAATTCGTACATGTTTTATGATTTGTAATTCGTAACAAACACTTAATTGGTTTCAATGTAATAAAATTTAGTGTAATCAAAGATTAATTGTTCATACTCCCGAGCATATGAGGAATATTGAACAATTTTGGTAATAATTTCATGAACTTAAGGTCTTTTAGTGATTTAATCGAAAAGTTTGTTTGGATTTTATCGACTAAATGAAGTTCTACATAAAGAGCATATTTTGAGTAAATCACTTTTGTCAATTTGGAGATATTAGAGCTTATTAATATCTTAATTACTAACCTAGATTGAACATAACGTGAAATCACGTTGTATCTTAGAACATAGTACTAAAAATAGGAATTAGAATTGATAATGTCTTTTTAATTTCTGAATTTTAGTCCTTAATTTATCATTTCATGAAGTTTAATTAGATGTCAATAAAATCCCCCCTTTTAGAAATTGGTAATAGCGTATCATGTGAAAGTATGGTCAATCATTAAGTCTTGTATCCTTGTGGACTGATCCTGCTTACTGTATACTATCTTTAGTGGCATTGATTTGTGTTTAATACTTATTACATTTATCTCTTTATTTGTTGGTTTGACCACTAAATAGAAAGTAATAAAAGATATGACTAACTCACGTGCCAGTAACCACATCTAGTACTACACGTGCCTCATCGGTGGTCAGCTGAAATGCCCAACTCTTCACCAATGATGTCTCCGTCTTGCCCTAGCGGCCATCAATAATCCTCAAGGTGGCCGGTGCAGGCACCGCCACTACCCTTCCTGAAAATCTTAGACAGTCGGCCTTTTATGGCCAATCTAATTGCAATGAAAGAAAATCAGAGCTCCTCCAGGGGCAGTCCCTACTCAAATGACCCGACTAACCACAATTGAATCATCCTGAATATAACGTCCATGTTTCTAGGCTAGGCATTAATGATGATGTAATAGTCTAGGTCAACATTTGTAATTTGTTTTGAAATAATAAGAATGAATTATCTGAATTTGTGAGTTTTATACTTAATTATTATAATTTAATAAATTAAGGATAAATTAAGCGTCAAAAATAAATATTAGATAAACCCGCTATTTATGAAGAAAGTTGTAGAGTGAAACAAGGATTTTGGAGATATAAAGAATACTGAAATCTGAGTTATAACGAAGAAGTTATGACTTATCGAAATTTCGTGACAAAACCGACACGACGTTGTGTGGTGTAAAAAGTAAATTTACGATAAAGTGTTTTTTAGCATTAATAATCTAATGAAATTCGTAGTGTTCGTTAAACCGAGAGCGTTAGAAAAAGAATGCCCAAATCTAAATTCATATGAGGAAGTTATGATTTTTCTAAATTTCAGTTTAGTTGTATGCAGCCCGAAACTCGAATTTTAGATCGAGTGATTTTTAGCCGACACAACCTAAATGAGAATCGAACGTCTCGTCAATAGTAGTACAATGGTAAAAGGATAGATGAAAACAGACGTCGGATGAAAAAGTTATGAATTTTTAACTAATTTTCCTGTCCCGGTTTGTTAAAAGTAATAATAATAAAAATAAAGTCAAAATTAGCCAACGGAGTCAAAACGAAAGTTGTAAAGTATAATCTTACCTACGATTGGATATAAAGAACATAAAAAGCGGAGCTTGTATGCAAAAGATATGAATTTTTTAAGTTTGTGGCACAAACTTCGAAGCTTATCCGAAGGGAACGCCCCGCGTTCACATGCAGTGGACACGTGTCTCGCATCTTGACACGTTCGAAGCCACGCACCCACCGGAACGCGCTGCGTTCCTCCGAGGAACGTGCTGCGTAGACCAGGCAATGCTTCCCCTATAAATACAATGCGAGATAGCCCGGATTTATGTTACAATTTTCATTTCTTTCACGTTTCACTTTCCTTTTGTTACAATAAATACCTTCAAACCTATTATATCATCCTAGCATCATAAGCAAGCCCCAGAGAGCCTGAAGATCCCAAGAAAAGAGTTTTTCGAGATGTAACTCTATCCACGTGAAGCACGGTTTTTTAGAAAACAACCTGGTTTTATCGGAAACAATCGTTTTAAGAAACGAAGTGTTGCCCGATTATCGTTAAATCAAGTGAGTGTATAGTCACTTTCATCTTACACATAGATATGTAATATTTATATAAAATACGTGCTATGTGAATATATATTGTTTGTTTATTTGCGATGGATGTTGAATGAAAGATTTATACAGGTTTTAAATGATTTAAACTGTATATGTATTTTATATCTACAAAAATATTGGGTAAAAGATGGGTAGATGAAATAGTTGGTATGTGATGAAAGATAAGTTGGATAAATGAGATGAT